TATCTATCTATCTATCTATCTATCTATCTATCTATCTATCTATCTATCTATCTATCTATCTATCTATCTATCTATCTATCTATCTAAAAGCAAAGTGGCTAATTCTGACTCTAATTGATTGAGCTATGGGAGCAATATGGTTATAAGATAAATAAAAAAGAACCATTCACAGTAACCCACAACAGCTGCCACTTATTCTAAATTAGGTTTGGATGTATTAACAGAGTTTAACTTTATATATTTGATGCCAACACAGGAGATTTTCTATTCAAAACATTAGATGGTTGAAATTGAGCATAAGTTGATAATTTGCAGATGTGAGTTCATGCTACACATATCTTCGGGTGTTGCAACATTTATTCTCTACTATTAAGTCATGGTTTTACTCAAATATCTTTTAAAAGTCCTGGTATTTTTACTGTACATTTTTTTTATCCGCTTCAACAAAAATCAGTTTCTTCTGTTTCAGGCTCATCTCCTGTGGAACAAACTACCACTTTTATTCTGCAAGGCAGACACCATTTCTAATTTTAAGACAAGGCCTAAAACTTTCCTTTTTGATAAAGCTTATAGTTAGAGAGGCACAGGTTATCCTGAGCTATCGCTGCTATAGGCTCAGACTGCTAGAGGACATAGGTACCCCTTTTCATCATTCTGCCTGATTCTATCTCTAATCTCCCACTCTACATTATTTGTTGGTTCAACCTCTAACTTTATGCCCTCTCTGCCTTTCCCCTACTGTAGTAGCTTCATCTGGTCTATTCTAGTCTAGCTGTGACACCATCACAGAGAGAAATATCAGCTGTGCTGCTGCCATCGCCTTTGTTTATAGATGTTGGAGCTTGGTCTGTTTTCAATGAAGACCTGTTTCTCTGACTGTGACTAACTGTACCCTGTATATGCCCTCTTTCAACCTCTGACATGGTAGCTTGGCTCGGAGCTTGTCTGCCTTGCTGTGTCTTTCCTGGAAAGGACTGTGTGTGGAACTGATTTACAGCTCATCTTTACATCTCTGCTTCTTTCTGTGTGTCTGCTTCTGTTTATTTGAAATCTAAGCGGCCTATGCAGATGGCCGCTCACACTGAGCCTGGTTCTGCTGCGGGTTTCTCCCTGTTAAAACGGAGTTCTTCCTTTCCACTATCGCTACAAGCATGGTATGAGGGATTGCCTTTTAGCCAATGAGTCGAAGAAACCAGCTGGTTTTGAGAAAACTTTGAACCATCTGTTTGTATGATCTCATTGAATTGTCTCTGTAAAGTGCCTTGAGATGACACATATTGTGAATTGGCACTATATAATTAAATTGAATTGAATTGAATTGACAGTAGACATTCAGTTAGATCATGTCATTGAGTTTGCAGCAATCCCTCATGCTGAGCATGCATACAGTGACAGTCCAGAAGAAAACTCTCTTTTAACAGGAATAAACCTCCAGCAAATCCAGGCTCAGTGTGAGCGGCCTTCTGGTTAGTCTGACTGGGGTTCAAGAGGACAGAAAGAGACATATTTAAGGACCATACAAGCATGGATCCATCAATATTTTTTATTTTAGAGAATGCAATGGTAAAATAGCTCCATATGTTGCTCTCTTCAGGAAAGAAATTAATAAGCAGGTGACCTCTGCACCAGTTTCTTTCAAAAGACTAACATCAGACTTAAGAACTGTGGCCCTCAGTTCAAGTTTTATCTAAGTCATGGCTTTGATTATAGTCTAAACTGTTTAGACCATTATCATAGCAGCAAATAGATGATTTCTTAGGAAGAGAACAACTTTAAAGATTAAATTATTTGTCCAGATGAGAAGGAAACAGAACTGTGTCTCTTATTAAACACACCCAGAAGAAATGAAAAGATATTACTTATGCTGGCTAATTTTCCTTGTGTTATTTTATGCAATATTTGAAATAGCTCAGGTTTTTAGCAATATCACCCCTATTTTTTGCTCATGGCCTCAGTAAACATGAAATGATTGAAAATTATTAATATAATATTAATCTTGCAATCTTATTGGGTTTTTTATGCTCATAATCGTTAGCCCCTCAAAAATGTGTGGTTATAATAAGTACCTTTGGTTGATCCAATGAAGTGCAAAGGTTTACTGCAGTTGTGATTTATTTGATAAATTGGCTCTTATTGTAACATCTTGATAACAAATGCATTAAGACAAGCTGCTTCAAACACCAACAATATATTGATTACTGAGGATTTTTTAATGTTTACAACTTGTTCTACACCATATTACAAATGTTTTAAAAAAAGTTTATTTTCAAAACAACACAAGACAAAAAAACCCCAAAGCATTAATGCCCAAGTTGTTCCATTTAGCTTGTACTTACAGGTGAGCACACTAGCAATAGGAAATATAAATAAATTAGTATTCTGACCAAATGGAAGATATTGTGGTCTTCATCTTTGGATGGTAATATTTTTCCATAGAAAAATTCAGTAAAAAAAAAAAAAAAAAAAACATATATGTAGATTTAAGGTTCATCATTTTTCTGTAATTTTTTTTCTTCATACTTTTAAGATAAAAAAACAACAACAACAAAACGTTTCCTTTTAAAACATTACATAGGTTCAAGAACCAATGGGATAATTTGGATGAACCAAAATTTGGTTTTGTTTTTTTGCTTAGATTTCAAGAATTTTTGATAGTTTTTAAACATTTTCTTCATATGTTTATGTTATTTTATAGCTGTTTTGCACAACAAACCGTTCACTTAGCAATCCATATCACAAGAGTTTTTTTCCCCCCACTGTTTACATGCATACATTGCCGAATAAATTAATTTAAGAATTGGCTGACATTAAGAACCAAACACATTTTCTATTCTTAAGCTAAAACTTTTTGTCTATGAAATTTAAAACTGTATCTTAGTTTTACAGACTCTGATACTGGAAGGATTCACTTCCACTGCTTTTCCAACACAAAAATAAGGAAAGAGTTTCTCAGTGAAAGTGTCTCTGTGAGTGTAGATGAGAGTCATGTCTTCACAGTCGTAGAAGGACACCTCCCCTCTGTCATAGTCCAGCTGGACTTTTATCCTCTGCAGATTTTGCTTCACTGTGACAATGTTATCCTCACCATCTGTGTACTTTCCATCACCATGCACCAAACACCAGATTCCAAAATCCGGCAAAGCACAAGTCTCTCCCTTCCTGTCTACAGACTCTTTAACTAAGCCGATATTCCAGCGAGGATGGTCTCCCACCTCCACCTCCCAGCTGTGTATCCCTGAGCTGAAGCCCTCAGAACCAAAAACATTGGTGTAATTAATGTTTCTCTCTGGATTATCAGGAAGCTGCTCCTTAGTGTCGCCACGCTTCACACTAGTCAGATCATCAGAGAGAGAGAGCCATCGACTTGCAGTGTTTGGGTCCAGAATGACGGGACTGAAGTGGATTTTCCCTTTCATTCTGTTCCAGACTCTGTAGGACAGGTTGCCCAGATGTTTGGCTACATCTATCAGAGCTCCTGAGAGCAGCTGTGGATCTGACAGTGAGCTCTGGGCTCTGGCTCTACTCTGAGTGGCTTTATAGCTGCTGAGGAACGACAGGTTGTTTTTCTGCAGGTCTTCTTTACCAGCAGAGATACTGTCTGACAGAGAGGAGATCTGCTCCTGAATCCTCTTTATTTCTCTGCTGATAGTCTTCCTCTTCTTTTCCTCTTCCTCCCACAAAGCTGCCAGTCTGGACTCCTCTTCCTCTTTCAGGAACTGGTGGAGCTTGTTGAACTCTACTCTGATCTGTGTCTCAGTGGATGCCACCTGCTTTGTTATGTGTTCAGTCATTTCATCGTATGATTTCTCCATTTGTTTGTATTTGTCTTTCTTGTCCTGCAGAGACTTCAGGTCAGATTTCAGTTGTTTCTTCAGCTCACCAACCGCTTGTTTCATAGGAACCACTTTGTGGCTCTGGTGGAGAGAAAACTCGCAGACGGGACAAACGGCTCTCTGCTCGTCTTCGCAGAACAAGTGCGGAACGTCTTGGTGTTCACTGCACACCCCCATCTTAGCTTGTTTTTTTCTCTCAGATGAAGATGGTTTCTGTCTTCCAGCTAAAGTGTCAGGCAGTTCTTTCATTGAAAAAATCACCTAGATAGAAAACATAAATTTGTTTTTTTTTACATTATCCTTTTAAGATATAAAGGATTAGTAGCAGATAAAAAATACAATTCAGAAACAGCTCTCCCAATGAAGCATTGGACTCACCAATAAAAGGTTTCTCAACAGTTCCAAATCGGTTTCAGATGATGCTTGTTTTTCGGCAGCAATCTGACACAGTGTGATGGTGCCTTAACTCTGTTCGACAACTAAGAAAATTCCTTTCATTCAGTTGTATGCCTCAGAGAGATTTTACCAGTCAGACGAGCTCTTGGGACGTTTTTTCAAGACAGAAAGACAGACAAGTTATTTTTCCACCTCTTCTGTTTCAGTTTGTTTTGCTTGTACATTTTTTTTTCTGTTTTGTTGTGTAATAACAAAAAGATGAAAAAAATGCAGAGTGTTTTTTTTTCCAATTATAAATAGAAAAATAAATAAGGTTTGGTAGGACACAATTCACTCTCACCTTACTATAAACCTGCTGAACAACATTCTCCCTGCATTGTAACAGTGAGGATGGTTTCAGTGGGTGGAGATTTACATTCAGAGAATCCTCTAACATTTTAAGGGTTTTTTATGCATAGTTATAGAATTTAAAGGAAATAAATGTGTTTAATACTGATCCAAATCTACTAAGATTATAGTAAATAATTCAACTGTTTTAATACTTGTTGTTCTAAATATCTCTTTTTTATAATTGTAAATGCTGCAGGTGTTTTTTCAATAGTCTAAAAACCACAAATGGAGTTTAAGGTTTTCAAAATTTTTAAATAAAAATAAAAAGTCTATAAGATATAACAGTTACATAATCCTGTCTGCTAGAATTTAAATAATAAATCTTTTAAGATGAATCTGAGTAAATAAAGAAGTTGTCAAAAAAGGGGTAAATAATGATTTATCATGTTCTAATGAGACTCCTGAAAACATGAACATTTACCACTGATGTGAAAAATTTTGGGAGGTAACACAAACTGCACACTTAGATAATCTCTATGACGTTTGAACCTATTCATGAGTAGGAACAACCCAAAACAAGAAGGACTGTTTGTCCAGACAATCAGGATTTGCTGGCTTGAATGTTTGAAACCATCTTGGCAGGCAAGATTATCTGGTTGGTGGAACCTCTGTTGGTACAGGAACTGATCAAGACCAACTGACCCAAGATGTTTTTGAGGCCAAAAGTGAAAAGGTAAAGCAGATGTTTACCTGCTGAGCTTTTATGCCACCGGCAGGATTAAGAAAAGCTTTTCAGATGGTAATTAATTAGGGATAGATTAATGAGCTGCTTTAATAAAAAAAAAAAAATTCATCAATAAATGACAATATGACTAAATCTATTCTATTTGGTATAAACAAAAGTTAAAAATTAAACGTAATTTTTTAAGTGAATAATGTAAAAATACAGGAGTATTTTATACCTAGTTTGGCCAGCATGAGTAGCAGCAAGAACCATGTGGAAAAAATGAGTGAAATGAGCTGCCGGGCCAATTAGACAGGTGACAGGAGTAAATAATACGGCCAACCAACAGTGCCAAGGTCATGACAAGGTGAGGGTAGGAACATAGACTGACCTATAAATTGAGAGCTCTGCATTTTCTTTCAGATCTCTCTTCGCCACAACAGACAGGTGCAGCATCTGAATTATAGCAGCAGCTGCACCAATCTGTCTATCAATCTCCAGATTCTACTTCCCTATATATATATATATATATATAT